GGGTGGGTCATGTCACTGACATTGTTAAGAATGCAGGCAGAGCAACCTGTGCTCGGTTTGGTTTTATTATTGATTCTCTGCAAATTGTGCACCCCTCATTGTCTGCACCTGGGGTGGCCCCTCCTGCCGCTCTGCCTGTGGTATGCCATTGAACTCACTCCAAATTCACGGCTCAGCCTAAGGTGCTGAGCCGGGGCTGCGTGCACACTGTGAAGGGGACGCTGGCACTCTCACAGGCTCACAGCAGACAATGAGATCATTTTAACTGAAAGAGTTTATGAGCAGGGCCCAGGGAATCCTGTTGAATTCACAGGCCTTTAGGGAAAAGGTTAGTAATGGATTTGCTGCTCCCTAAGGATTGATTAAGTCCTTAGTGTGAAGAGTAAAAGATAAAAAGCCCTCCTCTCTCTCAGTCATCTTCTTTCTGGATAATTTGGAGAATCAGTTAAGCATCCTCAAGACTTTTGTTTTCTTTACTAATTTTCCCCAAGCAGGGAGGAGAGAGACGCTGAGTAATACCTTACAAATGAAAAACCTTCCTTGGTTTGGGCAAAATATGTAAAATATTATGAAAACCAAACTATGACCAGTAAATGCATGCTTAGAAATACGATTTAAAGATGATCAGATTTAACACTCTAGGGATCCCTATGTGATATCTCCCAGCATTATGGATTTCTGTCTGACCCCTGTGCCCTTTAACATGTAGGCTTTTCCATGAGTAGGGACGCTATGGTACCAAGACGTAAGCAGGGACTTCCCAAGTGATGCTGTAATGAGTGGATTTATTTTGTCTGTGAATTGGGAGAAAGAGCTCCTTTTTATGATATCACAAGGTGTTGGCAGACAGACAGGTTGCACAGGGCAATGCTCCCTGGTATTGGGTGACTCACGGGAAAATCCTAGGCAGAAAGCATTAGCAAGCTCCAAGCTACCAAGGTCTTTGGGGGCAGGAACATAATAGCAACTCTGTAGGCCTAGTACTTTGAGATTCCTTCATTTTCACCTGTTCTTCTTTCCCTCAAGTTGCATATGTTTCTCTGCCTTCCCAAGACTGACCCCTTCACCTGTGCTTTCCACAGAATCCTCACCAGCTTGTTCTGACCTGTGGACCTTCAGAATGATCATCGCTCTCTAAGCACCCTCAGGCTCTTCTGAACTGAGGCCTCTTCAAATGTGCTAGCGCCTTCTCTCCTTCAAAGCAATCTTCCACCAGAATCTTCCCACTTTATGTGGGTATTTTTTTCTCTTTCTCTTCTTTCACCGGCAAAGTTCTAGAAAGAGAGGTCTGCATTCGGATTTGTCGCCTGCGCACTCCTAAACCATTTGTATCCTTTGATCCCAATTTGTCCTTCCCAAGGTCACCGCAATTGCTTGATCATGAAACATGATGAACGGCCGCCCTCCTACCCCCTGTCCTATTTGCAGCCTTCAGCTCTATTAACTGTATTGTACCCTTCTGGGTCCATGGAACTCCCGGACTTTAGGTCTCCTGCTGTTTCTGCCTTTGGCCTTCACGTGTGGTACATGAGACTTGTATTCAGCCGTCTTACTTTTCACATTCTTTTTTTTTTTTAATTTTAAAATTTATTTTAGAGGGAAATGGAGATAGAAACATCAATGATGAGACAGTCATTGATTGGCTGTCTACTGCATGCCCCATACTGGGGATTGAGCCCGCAACCCGGGCATGTGCCCCGACCGGGAATCAAACCTTGATCCCCTGGATCCTAGGTTGATGCTCAACCACTGAGCCACACCCTGCTGGGCTTCACATTCTTCATCCTTTCCCTTGAGGAGCTCATTTGTTCCTCAGTCAATAGCCATCTCCTCTTGGAGGTGACTCCTAGGTCTGTCTGTATCCACACACTTTTCCCGAGTTTTAGTCATACTTTTTGCTGGACATCTCTACCTGGAAATAACTATCATCTCAATCATTCTGTATGTGAAACTACAATTCTTGTGTATTCTTTTCCCAGTAAGCTCACCCTTTATAGTTTCACAGTGAATTATGAGGCCAGGTTGATTCCAGCTCTGCCACCATCGAGCTGTGTAAATTTGGGCAAATTCTTCAACCTGTTTGGCTTCAGTTTCCATACTGATAAAATATAAGTGATTTCTGAATCTGAGTCCACAGATGTACTCAACCCAGTACTTACTAACTCAATTGACCTGAACGAATTATGCTTTTACTCTAAGCCTCAATATCTTTATTTTAAAATGAAAACATTAATGTCTAACTCATAAGGCTGATGTGAGGATTACATGAGGGAATATCTACAAGTGTTATCAGCGTGTCTGTACATTATGCTTTATATAGTAGCCCTTATTCTTCCTGTTACCCAGGCTTGATATTTTGGAACATTTTAAAAATATATATGTTTTTATGGATTTCAGAGAGAGGAAGGGAGAAGGAAAGAGAGATAGAAACATTAATGGGAGAGAATCATTGATCGGCTGCCTCCTGCACGCCCCCTACTGGGGATCATGTCCGAGACCTGGGCATGTGCCCCTGACTGGGAATCGAACTGTGACCTCCTGGTTCATGGGTCAACGCTCAACCACAGAGCCACACAGGTTGGGCATTTGGAACATTTTTTATTTCTTCTTTTCTTCCATATCTAGCAAATGACCAAGCTTTATCAATCATGCCTTGATAATGTCTTATAGCAACTTTCATTGTTGACTACCCAGCTACTGGAAGGCACCATGCTACAAACTTTATAGGTGTTGGTTCGCATCTTTGCCATCACCTACAATGTATGTTGGTGTTTTCTGTTGCAGAAACAGCTTCAGAGTTAATTTAAGTAACTTGCTCAGATCACATTGCTAACAAATGGTTGAGCTTGGGTCAAGCTGAGTCCGGCTACCTTTAAAGTCAGCTCTATTTCCACTATCCTGGGCTTTCTCCTTCCCACCCTCCCTCCCTCCCTTTCTTCCTTCCTTGCACTTCCCACTGCTGTCAATCAAAATCTCTCTCTCCCAATCTTGCGCCTCTCTGCTGCCACTCTCTCCTGGTTCCCTTTCATCCCATCCATCGCCACCAGGTTTACCTCCACCTCCTTCCTGGGTGACATTTAACAGCCTCCATTACCTCCTGCAGACCTCTGGCATCTGAGGCCTCCCTCATTTCTTATATTCCAACCAAAGAGTTGATTTTGTGTACCTGCAATGTAATTTACATGTTTCAAGCTTTTTAAAAAACATTTCCTCTAAATGGAATGTGCTGCCCAGATGAAGTCTCATTAGTGACATAAAACCTCTTTGCTGACTGGGTAAAACCATTGTTATTGTTATTTTAACAAACACAACTTTTTAACCTGGTCTTGAGGACAGATTCCTTATTCGACGATACAAGTTAAGTATATGTCATTAGAACTATTGCTATTGGAGATCTCTTTTCGAACTTGGCATCTCTTCTCAGGACCCTTGAGTTCAGCAGTTATGTGAATTATGTATCCATCCTCTGGCATCCCCTTTTCCTTTCCCAAGCAATGATATCTACTTTGGAAATGTACGCGGTGGGTGTAGAGCTCAAAGATATCCATTGCAGCATTATTCACAGCAGTGGAAATCTGAAAACACTGAAAGATTTAAGAAAATGAACAAACCAGTTATGAACATCATGCAGCCATTAAAATAATCTTTGCAAGGGATTTCAAACACATGGGGAATGGCTTTTGACATGTAAACAACAACAGAATGAAGACAAATAAGCAATGACAGCAAAACACCAAAAGCAGGATACAAATGACCTTTTCATTAAGACCTCAATAATATAATATAAAATATGGGGAAAAACTTTTTGATTAAAGAATTATTAATATCTTGCTTTGCCACAATTTCCTATACTTTGCAAGTTGTCTGATACTGTCAGAAAAACTAATGTAATGACTTACAACAAATAAAGATGCAGGGGTAATTCCCTGTCTTTGAGGGTCCCCAAGATTACCACTAGATTCAGTGATTGCTGGGAGGACTCACAGGACTTGGCATATAGTTGTAGAGATGACTATGATTTATTACAGCAAAAGTATATAAAGCAAAATGCAGAAGAAACAAGCTCCCAAGAGTCCTCTCCTGGTACAGTCCCATAGGACACACTTCATTCCTCTAGCAATGAGTTGTGTCAACAAGCTGTGAAATCTTCCCACTAGGGAAGCTCATTAGACTCAGTGCCCAGAGTTTTATTGGGGTTGGCCTCATAGGCAGCCTCTGCCTGGCACATACTAACATTCCAGACTCCCAAAAGGAAAGGAGATGTTCATCGTAAGCCGCATTGTTTGTACAAAGAGTTGAGGCACAGCGAGCCACTCTTATCAGGGAATGGTGGGAACGTTTCCGAGACTCAGGTTCCCACCGGCCAGCCGGCCAGCCTTGAGTAGCTGGGCCTTTCTACGCTGGCAGCCTTGGCTGCTCCGTTAACTCTCCTCTGCTCATTCCCCTGTTCCTCGTGCCTCACGTTTCCAGACTTCCTCAGGGAATAAGTACCAGAATTCTTCCTTCCTTTCACCTGCTCCCCCATCAGATTCACTGGATTGATTCCACTAAGATCTTTTCAAAGGCCAATAAAAGAGGATGATTATGTTACATTTGAAGCACGGAATTTGAGAAAAAAGTCTACAGCAACTCTAACACCTGGTTCCGCCCACCCACACCTTTCTCAGGGCCAGAGAGGTGGTCTGTGCGTGGGCTCAGATGGTAAGGCCGAGGCGGAGCTAGGAGCATAATTAGTACCATGGGTGCCAGCTTCTAGCTCCTGGCACCTGACTTTGTGTGTTTTTCCTTTAGCTCTAACTGCATAAAAATCAGTTAGCTCAGGCATTAGAGCACCAGCAGCCACACAGAGCTCATTGTCCCAGGAATGTCAATCCGGCATGCCCTGGCACTGAGTGCAATTTGGTTTCCCTTCTGCAAACAGAGAGTGTCAACATTCCTCTCCTGTGGCCATGTTCTCGAGTGATGACTTCATGCCCATCCTGTGTAACCCTGGGAGATTTCAAAGCATGGGCTCACGCGCTCATATTCGAGTCCCCCTCTGTTCTGGTCCATGATGATTCCTTGAGCTCACTCCCTGTCCCCCATCACCCATTGTTCGTCCCCCTGCCCCGGCTGCCCCTCAGCACCTGCCTTGACACCTGTGTACGTAGCTAAGCTGCAGGTTCAGTCTAACAAACAAATTCATGTTCTTTTCACTCCATCCTGCTGGCCCTTTCCCCAGTCTATATGCAGTGAACTCTGAGACCCCTCAGGGCATAAAACCAACAAATAAAATTTTTATTCGGTATTACCAAGAGTGGAAAGCATTTCCGTTCATACTTGCTTACTCTTGCCAGGCTTTATCTTTGATCAGTGCTCATTGTTTTTTGTTTTGTTTTGTGTGTTTTTAAAGTATAGCAGCCAATGAATAAATAAGTGTATTATTTTATGTGTATGTTTGCTTTACTTTTGCCTTTATTTCCATCCTTCACTCTCTTTAGTAGCTTATGTCGATGAAGATGAAAATGAAATCCTCGAGTTATCATCAAATAAAACGTTCTTGCTCATGCTGAAGATTCCAGAGGAGTGTGTTACTGACGAAGAATTGCCTCGTCTGCTCACAAAAAGGGTAATGGGACCTTATGCACTGTTTACTGAGTTCAAACGTTAGAATATGGGTTCTGCTACAACAGTAGGCATAGAGCTATAAAGTAGCTACAAGCTTGGATTTTTTTTTTTTTTTTGGGGTCTGGATTTTCACAGAAACAGACTTTTACAAATGGACTTTTTGTCATGCAAAACCAAGGGGAGAGCCCTGGCCTCCAGCTCAGTGCATCTGGAGGGAAGATAGCGTTTTGTCTCTTCACTCTGCTCTTACATTTGATTTAACTTGTAGTTTCATTGAGGGTCTGTGATGTGTTAGATAGTATGCCAAGTGCCAGGGTCACAAACTGTGCCATTAGTGGGGGCTCACAGCCCAAGTAGAGGGAGCAACTAGATAGATAGTATAAAATGGTGTGATAGATTCTATTGTTGAGATGCATACAGGATGTTTTACAACCATAAAGGGGGGGCATCTAGACTACCTGAGGTAGAGACGGAGGCTTGGAAGGCCTCCTGGAGGAGGTGATACTCGGGGTACGGGTCTGCACAGCAGTGTACTATGGCCTCCACATGCTATGTAGTGGGAACTTGCAGAGGTGAGGCTGATCCTGAAGGGAGGGTCAGATCCTGAAGGTTGTCTTACTCTTTGGTAAAGCCCTAAAGATTTTAATCTGCAGGTTGACCTGGTCAACTTTCATTTTCACTTTTCCGTTTAATGGTGAAAAAACACTAGAGCTAGAGTTTAGTTAGACATATCGCAGTAGTCCAGATGACAGCTGAGGGAGCCTTGAACTAGGGCAGTGTCAGGGGCAAGAAGGAAGACTCAAGTGAGATTTAAGAGGTCTTCTCACGCAGTCAGTAGGGCTTCATGGCTGGGTGAGTGTGGAAATGAGGGAGAGAGTGATTCCAGGCTCCTGGTTGGGTGGCCCCCTGGGTGAGTGGGGCATGATTCATGGAGTGGGAGGTTCAGGGGAATGAGCCTTCTGTGAAACACGGGTGCTCTGCAGCCAGACCGAGGGCTGGTTGGGGCAGTTTTGGTCATCCTGTCAGAGATGGGGTGGTTCACAGCCAGACCCACGCGTTTCTGGCAGGGAAAGCCAAGCCAGGCAGCCTGCCGTCCCCTCGCCTTCGCAGCGGCAGGCCCAACGCGGTGAGCCCTGTTCATCTGGCTCCCGCGTGAGGCCCGCCAGAGCCCCTGAAGGAGGCGATTCCGCCTCGGTCACCCCGGAGTCAGCTCTGAGGATCCAAGTGCATAACCTCGATTGCTCTTTTGGTCACAGGAGTTTGTACTCTGGGAAGGTGATTCCTGGTTTCTCTCCCTTCTGTCTTTCCTTATTTGTATCTTATCTGCAGCTCCCCTTTCCTCCTTCCTTCTGGCTGCTTCCAGAGGAAGCCAAAGAGCGAAGAGCCCCTTGCTGCTTTCTNGATTCCGCCTCAGTCACCCCGGAGTCAGCTCTGAGGATCCAACTGCATAACCTCGATTGCTCTTTTGGTCACAGGAGTTTGTACTCTGGGAAGGTGATTCCTGGTTTCTCTCCCTTCTGTCTTTCCTTATTTGTATCTTATCTGCAGCTCCCCTTTCCTCCTTCCTTCTGGCTGCTTCCAGAGGAAGCCAAAGAGCGAAGAGCCCCTTGCTGCTTTCTTCCTTTTGGTTGCTTTTTTAATTGAGGGCTTTTGCATTTGATGAGCAGAAATGAAATGAATCAGCGACCACACGTGCCACCAGTTACAGACTGGACTCTATGCCAAAGGAAAACGGATGCTAATCATTCACCTGAGACCCGTATCTCTGGCACAGAGCCAGCCAAGAGCAGATTCGACGGGTATTTTCGGCTCATTACTGTGTAGCTGTAAAGGGACTGGCGGTGACTCCCGGGCCAAGTTCCCAGGCCTCTGAGCCGGTTTCTTCTTTGATCAATGAGAATCATATTGCTTCCCTTTCACCCACAGGTGCATATGAGATGCATAGAAAGAACCTTATGAAATATATTTTTTTAATGATCTGATTTGCAGATGATAAAAGTAAGGTGCACTGAAGTGAAAGGACTCCTGACCCCCAGCTTCCCAGCCAAATATGTTCAGGAACAAAAATGAGGAACTTGGAGATATTATTGTTTTATTGTCAGGTTGAGAACCCCCTTTCTTCCACTTAGGCCAGTTTCCATAATTTTCTGGATGTGGAAGGTAAATGGGAGTGGATATTGGCATACTCTGTCCTCTCTCTTGCTTTGTTGCCTTGCTTGTGTGAACACAGTTTTCCTAGCCCCTCTCATATCTCACCGCCAGAGTTTTCTCTGAGGGTTGGGGCCATTTCTCTGCTAAAGCCAGCCCATTAGCTATGTGCATGTGCTGGATGCGGGAGTTAGGATGGCACCTCTGGTAACCTACGGGAGGGAATTTCCCTTATTCTGGAAGCTGTTTTTTAATTAGCCAATATGCCTGGCTCTGATAATTAGCTCACTGGGCTCCTAGCTCAGTCTGCACCCAGCCTCTTAAGCACAGTTTGGGAGACACCAGAGCAAGGGCTAAGGAGACCCCTGTTTCTTTGGGCCCAAAGTAGATAGTGTGGTTAACAGCTTCCAAATACATAAATATGTCCTAATTACAGCAGGGGACTATGCCACCAAAAAGAACCTTTGAGTGGACACTAAAAGTGATCTGGTATACCACTCCATCTTTTAAATTTTTAACTTGAATGTTTTTCTGAGCACCTGCTATGTGCAAAACACAGTACTAGGTCTTAAGGATTAATAAAGGAAGGAAGGGAAGGAGGGAAAAGAGAAGATTGGAGGGAAAGTTTCCATATAAGAATGTCCAAATTTGTAGAGAATTTTTATGAGTTCATTTGAGATAAACTGATATCATGGTGGGGAGCAAGATCTCAAATGCTTTCAAGAATGACTGTTTTGCAGTTTCTTAAATATGTTCGGAATTAAGGAGGGAACATAGGGAAGATCACATGAAGATGTGTGAAATGAAGGCAAGGAAATCTCTATGATTAGATTATAGGCTAGTTAACAAGATTATATGCTTCCTTGTGGGTCTGAAAAAGAGGAATACTCCTGGCATTTCAAAGGTGTGTTAACCTAGATGCCTAGATGTGCAAGAACAATGAACAGAATTTGCTTAAAGCAAATTAAAACAATGTAAAGCACAATGTTATACCCTTCAGATTGGCAAAAATCTAAAAGTCTGGTAACACTAAGTGCAACAAGGTTGTGGGAAATGGACCACTTTCACATTCCTTAAGAAGAGTAAAATGGAAAACAATTTGGCAAGTTCTAGCTCAGTTGGAGATGTCCCTACTCGTGGACCCACCAAGTCAATTTCTTGGCATATGCCCAAGGGAAACTCTTACACGTAAGAGAAGAGAGGCACAGAGATATTCAAGGGTGGTATTTTTAGCATAGTTTGTAACAGGAGAAAATTGGAAACAATGCACATGACCGTCTTTGGGGAATGGAAAAGTTGGCACCGTCATTTAATGAAATCTCCGCAGAAGTTAGGAAAGGCCTTCATCTAGATGCACCATTATGGGTAAATCTCAAACATAATTTCAAATGAAAAAAAAAAAATCATAAAAGATTATGTAGACTATGGTGCATATTTTATTTTAATAAAAACACTAAATTACATATTGCTGTGATTACAGCAGGAAGTATTACATTTATAAAGCATGCGTGAGAAGGATACACGCCCACTCCAGGACAATGGCTTGCACTGGGCGGGGGAGGGAGGGAAGATGGAATTGTGTAAGAAGAGTAGCTTTAGCTTTGCTCTGTTTCTTACAGTGAAAAGCTGAACTGAATGTGGTAAAATGTGAAGGCAAGAATCCTGGGCCATGGGAACTCAGGTGTCATTATTTTTTGTGATGACAATATTTCACGCGTAAAAAAAAAAAAAAATTCATTATCTTTGCAATTATGCAGCAGCCCCACTTGGTCCGATTTTCCAGGCAAAGTGCCCTCCCTGTGGTCTATCATGGCCATTTCTTCTTACAATGAAGCTCTAGAGAAAGAAAAGAAGAGCCCTTGTCCAGTGATGTGCCAGGCCCTGAGTGGGCTGTCCTGCCGTCTCCCCAGCCACTGCGTGTTCTCTCCTTCCTGTGTTCCTTGGGGTCTGTGTGGGCTCAGGCTGCTGACCACTGTCATCATTAAGGCCACAAAGTGTCAGTGCAATATATGAGAGATGTGGAAAATCCCAGCCTGGCCACTTGTTCCTTAGGAAATGAGATTCTTTTAAGTGAGGGTGAACTTCATCTTTGGTTGATGCCAGGCCCACCCCTTTCTTCTTCACGATCCAGTCTTTGGATAAGTTAGTTTCTAGCTAGTGTGGAATCTCCTTTGGGAGTGGTTTTGCTTCATCAGGTGATACGCAGTAGCATGGGTGGTGGTTTTACTTGTTCCTGTTTGTTTCAGCTCACAGATGTGTACAGCTCGTCCCCGTCTCTGAGTCGTTATTTTACTTCAGTGGAAGCAATGGACTTCAGGTAAGAATGCAGAGAATCTGGAAAGCGACACTTTTTACCTAGAAGGACTTCCCGAGTCTCAAAGCACAAAGGGAACCAACGATAGAATTGTAGTGTCAGGGCTGGGAGGGTCTTTAGACACCAACTATCTCAACTCCCTAATTCTGCAAAGGAGAACAGTGAAGCCCAGGTTAATTAGATAACTCAACAAGGTCACACAGAAGAGAGGAAAAGCCAGTCCCAGGCACACCATTCCTGTTTAACAGAGAATGCACAAATGAACTGAGACTACAAACAGAAATAGATCTCAGATAGGGATGTGATGTAAATGATAGAAGCCAGGTATTGGCTTGTGATTTTGAGCAACACAAGTAATACAGGAGCCCATGTTCCTTTTATAATATGAAAAATATGAAGATATGTACTACAGGGAAAGTCTGCCTTCTGTTCTCCACCCCCGCCCCTCTTACCCCCAGACACTGTGTATGCCAGTCAATTCCATACACATAGTGAATTCCACTCCCTTCTACAGAATGAACAGTCATCAGCAGTTTGGTGTGATTTCTTCTATACATGTATTTACCGTACATACTGTATGTACTCCACATGTATAGCATGTGCACACACACATATTTTTCTTTTGAAATTTCCTCCTAATCTTTAATGTTTTTGTCTGTGTCAATAAACACATCCTTTTGTATTGTTAAGACAAAATTTACCTGACTAAGCTTTATTATCTGCTATTCCTAAGGTACCCCTGGAATGTGACCATGAAAGGCATTATTCCTTTGAGCTTCCCCTCTCTAACCATACATTTCCAAAGCCCACAGTATGAATAGATCTGAAAGGGGAAGCGTGTGAAGCAGATGTAGCACAACAGGGTAGGACGGAATGGACCTGACCTCTGGAAGCTCATACAGGGGCAGGTTGCCTTGGCAGCACTAGTCTTCCTTCTTTGCGGATTCCTATGTACATCTTACCTTATGGTGACTCTTTTTTCTTTTAAACTTTACTTTTCAATTACAGTTTACATTCAATATTATTTTTATTACTTTCAGGTGTACAGCATAGTAGTTAAACAATCATATACCTCACGCAGTGCTCCCCTGGTATTTCCAGTACCCATCTGACACCACACGTAGTTATTACGATATTATTGACCGTATCCCCTATGCTGTACTTTACATCCCTATGACTGTTTTATAACTACCAATTTGTACTTCTTAATCCCTTCACCTTTTTCACACAGTCCCCCAACCCTCCTCCCATCTGGCAACTATCAGTCTGTTCTCTGTATCCAAGAGTCTGTTTTAATTTTGTTTATTTTGTTAATTAGATTCCATATGTAAATGAAATCATACGGTCTTTGTCTTTCTCTGACTGACTTATTTCACTTAGCATAATACCCTAGGTCCACCCGTGCTGTCGCAAATAAGATTTCATTCTTTTTTTACAGCCGAGTAAGGTGACTTCTCTGGCATTGCTCGATTTAATCATAAATTGTTAGTATTATTAAAACACCAATAGAAAAGGGAGAAATGCATAATTAGACCCAATATGCTTTCCTCCATGCACCTGCCCCAACTTGCAACTCAAAGACTGAGACAGAGTTGAGAGAAGGATGTATTCCCAGCTTGAAGGGCTTTCCCAAGAATACAGCCTCCGATTATGAGTTTAGAGGAGGTGGGATTGATAATGGATTGGGGTTGAGACTGGGAAAAACCCATCAGAAAAATGAGTGAAACGTAGTTAGAAATCTGAAGACTTACTGTTAGAAAATCTGCCTCTAAAAGCTATTGATATTAGTATTTTGGATAAAGAAATTCTGCCTGGGAAACATTTTTGCTTCATTTTTAAAAATCTAGGCAGAGTTTCAACAATGTTGAAATGAGGAACCAAAGCCATTGCCTCCAAAAACGCCATTGCTGCCTGTGAGCAGGAGACAGCCTTGTGCCCTGCTGACATTTGTGTCAACAGGGTGATCCTGACCTCTTTCCTGGACCCGCCTAATGGGAACCTGGGAAATGCCCATTGATTCATGAGCTGCTGGACCCACATAGGTGGTGGGCATTTGAGCCAAAGCCCACAGGGTTCTCTGCTTCCCTGAAAATCCCTTTTCTCCTCCTCAGAATTCAGCCCTTTGTAAATTCACCCCGAGACCTGAGTTGGCGGGGTGACAGTGGGCTCCCCAGGCTGTGTTAGGCAGAGCAGTCCTCTCATTCAGCATCTGGCCTGGTCTTCCCCAAGTCAGCCTCTGGTCTTTTCCATGAGCCACCCCCAGTCCTGGCCGGTGGGAATTCAGGGTGGCTGTGTGAAGATGTGACCATCATTAGCGGTAATTAGAAGATAAAGCACAGGGACACCTGTAAACTAGAGTTGCTGGCTTAGAGTTTGAAAGTGCATTTTTCAGCCTGCCTGTAGTGGCATCCTTGAAACTCTTTCTCCAGAGTCTCAACTATTATTCTTTTGAATGACAGGGTTTGGCACATTTCTTGGCTGTCTTAGAGTTTCTAAACTGTCAACCTCCTTAATGTAAAGGAATTGGCGTATGTGACCTCTGGCCACACGAGGGAGCTCTTTGCCTGTCCTTAACTGGGGCAGCATTCACTACTGGGACCGGTGCTTTTTTTCCCTCCTTTTTTAAAAAACTATGTTTTTATTGATTTTAGAGAGAGAGGAGGGGAGAGGGAGAGAGAGATAAAAACATCGATGAGAGAGAAGCATCAATTGGCTGCCTCCTGCATGCCCTCTACTAGAGGTCAAACCCACAGCCTGGACATGCACCCTGACCAGGAATGGAACTGATGACCTCATGGTTCATGGGTCAGCGCTCAACCACTGAGCCACACTGGCTGGGCGGGACTGGAGCTTCTATAAGACTTGCCTTAGGGTGAGAGTCTCAGATGTGATCACCTCTTAATTATTTTATTGCTTGCTCTTAATTTGGATCTTCTTGAAAGTAATAGGATAATTGTGGAAAAATCTTAATGTTGATGTAACATTTAACAAATAATGTAATCTTATCAACTGAGAATAGCCCTATGATTATTTTTATTTTGGCAATGGGAAAAATAGGTTCTAGGAAGACAGCACTTCTTTTCCTTAGGTCCCCTTCCTAAGAGCTGCAAAGCTGGCAGCCTCAAGAGTGGAAATGGGACAGAACAAGTTTCTTAGTTTGGGGACAAACCGAGGAGGTATGATTTGCTGCTGGTACACAGGGCAGTCAGTGGGAGCCCAGGAGTTCTGCACCCCTGATGGCAGGGAGCTTTGGACCCTATCTTAAACAATAATGAACTGGCTAAAGTGAATAGCTCTGACTAACGCGCACTTGCTGGGGCAGGGAAAGGAGTGTAGTGTGAGCACATGGAGAAGGGAACACCAGGGGAGAAGAGAGCTTTCCTTGCCTGCCTTGGGGGTCAAAGGCGGGTGTTGGGCAGATAGTGTGCCAGCCCTTGGATCTTCCTTGACAACAGCCGGGTCACATCTCTCTCTTCAAAGGCCTCTCAGTGGACTCCTAGGGGATGTGTTCTAGGTGGAAGGAAGAAGTGAGGATCACCGGGACGTTTTGTGCTGGACCTATGGAGGAGGGTTCCTCTAGGACAGCACACCCTCTGCTATTTTATATTTGGAAGAACATGAGGAACTAAAAGAAATATTATTGCTAAAACCAATTCCAGAGTTGTAATGCGATTCAGTTATATTTGACTTTCTCTGTTTAATTTGCCTTTCAGAGAGGAGAATGCCACAATAACCTACCACCTGCAGTTTGAGGTTCCATCGAAAGATGACAATTTTCTGAAGTATATGATGAGTGAGGAGTTGGTGCTGGGCATTTTGCTACAGGATTTCCATGATCAGAACATGTCTGCTTGTGAGGCTCTGGGGCTTGATCCAGAGTCCCTCTTGCTCTACGGTAAGTCGAGGAAGTCAAGAAGACAGAGTTGTGACCGTAAACAAGTGAACCATCCTGGGGACAAGTGGTTTGGGTAGATTTCTATGCAGGTGATGTTTCATGTTCTGTGGAGGTTATACAGTCTCTGCCCTCCACCCTGAGACTGAGTAGTTGGGGGAAAATCATGAAAAAAATAATTGAACTATCAAGATGAGGATTGCTGAATGTTTCCTTGTTATAGTTCCCCCATGTGCTAAGCCCCATACCCCACTTCATAGTGTCATTAGTGCACTCATACTTCATTTTATTGCGCTTTGCTTTCTTGTGCTTCACAAATGTTGCATTTTTCACAAATTGAAGGCAAGACCCTTCACAAGCAAAAATATTTGACTCGCTTTATTTCCACCCTCTCTTTATTGCTGTGACCTGGAACCCAACGCGCAACATCTCTGAGGCAGGACTGTAAACCTCATGGAAACACCACGGTTTCATAAGAGAAGGAAGTGTTAAAGAACTTGAAATAAGCCATATAGCTAAATCATTGAAAGGTTATCTCAGTATGGGGACTTACCTCTTTTTCTGTTGAAGGCCGCTGAGTTCATTAAGAAATTAATAGAGGGGCATAAAAAGGCAAATTAATCTCTCTGCTGAGAAAATTTTAATAAATTGACTCATCCACTTTTAAAACGAAGAGCAGAGTGAGCAAATTAATATGTGTTTAATAAGCATAGAAGACACTCTGCTTGTCAGGAGCACTTTGAACACTCTGCACGAGACCTGGCGAAAAGGAAGGTGGGGGGTGGACTTACTGCAGCTTTGACATGTCCTTCCGTGTGTCTCCCGAAGCCTGGCCCCTCTCTCCGTCTCCTCACTTCCCACTCCGAGTCCCCCTCGGAGATGCACCGGCTCTCCTTAGCCCCAGGTGCCCACAGTCGTGGGTGTCTTATTTCCCCGTCGACCATCCGTCAGAAGCACTCTCTGCACATTAGTAGTAGTCAGTCCTAGTGGGATGAATGGGACGGGCAGATCAGAGGAGATGTGCTTAGCACCAGGCACGTTGCCAGAGCCCAGCATCAGGGGGTGGAACAGAGAGGTTATAAAGCCCCCTTGGGACAACAGCGTGAGAGCTGGCGTTTGTCATGATGGGACTGATTTCCTGATGACAGGAGGTGAGAGGAGACTAATCTCGGCCTCGGGACGCAGAAAGTTGTAGTAAGCAGTTCTTAAAGCCTCCCTAGAAATGATAGAAAGAAAGACATTCAGAAGGCCAAATTTCAGCTCACTGGGATAGCCTCCAATGAATAGTTTCCCCACAGAGCAGCTGAATAAATGCAGCATGTCTGTGGGCCAAGCTGATGGTGCACATGTGTGGAGTGAAGGGTTATGCACCCTCTACAAGAATTTTAGGAAGAAAAGAAGGAAGGAGGGAGGAAAGAAAAAGCAAGAAAAAAGATAGAGAAAGAAAAAGAAAGTAAGAAGAAAGAAAAGAAAGAAAAAGAAAGAGAGAGAGAGAGAGAGAGAGAAAGAGGGAGAGAGAGAGAGAGAAAGAAGGAAGGAAGGAAGGAAGGAAGGAAGGAAGGAAGGAAGGAAGGAAGGAAGGAAGGAAGAAAGAAAGAAAGAAAGAAAGAAAGAAAGAAAGAAAGAAAGAAAGAAAGAAAGAAAGAAAGAAAAAGAAAAGAAAGAAAGAAGAAAGAAAGAAAGAAAACCGAGGGCCCCCTCCTGTGTAAATTGGTGAGAGAGGGAGTCTACGCTACACGAGATGCTCTGACCACGCTGCTGTGGTGACTGGTCTTTATTTTCCCAGCCCCCTCTGTAAATACTGTGGTTACCAGTTCTTTCCAGACATAGGCGAGGGAGGGGGGAGGGTAAGAAAAGGTTTGAGAGTATTACGAGGTTGGGAGTATAATAAAGGGTGTGTTGCTTTTGAGGCCAGAGACATTTCCTGCCACTGGCCCTGGGGGTGCTCCCCAGGAGACTGTACTTTTTCTCTCAGACATTTCTTCTGGGGGCCTCCTGTGACCCCACGCCCATTTTCCAGAGCATGCTGTGCAGTATTTCGGCCATTAAATATTTTCAAGACTATGACTATCAGGTCTCTCAAATGGAAGGGTAGACAGTGGCCAATTGAGATGAGAGGAAGGAAAAGACGAGAAAAGGCAGGTAGGGCAAGGGAGGGGCCAGGCTGAAAGGCAAACTCCAACGAAAGGGAAGAGATGGCTGGGGGGGGTAGGCCAGGCTCCTGGGAGGGACTGAGTGAGACCCCGTGGGTGCTTAGGCCAGGTCCCCACACTCATATGCCGCCATGGGCTTGGTGGGTTAAATCCACTTCTGCGATGAGCTGGGTGGCTAGTTTTCTACAAAGATGTTTTAATTCTTCAAAGAGCAGAGATTCTTATAATTGTTGGGTTCATGTACCCCTTAGAGAATTAGAAGACAGCCAAGTGCCTTCTCCCCAGAATAAAAAGCACAGAACACCTCCCCCTACAAAACATTTTACAATTTCAGGGATTCCAAGGACTCTCTGAGTCCACTCTGTGGTTCCTTTAGGGTTCATGGGTGTGTGTGTGTGTGTACTTGAGAGTCAGAACCTTAAATTAGGCTCTAATTTGGATTCGAGGGGCATTTTATGTGTATATCTCATTTTCTAATTTGAAAATACAATGACTGATGTAGGTGCAGGCATATTTTGATGCCTTATAAAAATAAAAACTTCCCTTACTGTTATAACTAGAAGGGAATTTTTATATTTATCTTTTCTTCCCAGTTTCATTCTGAGATATAATTGACTTCACACATACTGCACAGTGATTACCACAGTAAGTTCAGTTTATATACATCACCTCACATGGCTACAGATAAAGAACAAAAATTCAGCAGAGTAAACTTTAGAGATCTAGTTGGTTTCCTTGGGTGATTCATGAATCAAGCAGCCTCCCATTTAGTAAACAGAAAGGTGCACAGAGGAACTATACTAAATGGAAGGGTTTTATAAGCAGAAAGAGGGTGGGGCAAGGAAATTGAAAGAGTGGATTATTTCAGGCAAGGTGACCTTCCCTTAGGGGAGGACTGGGGGTTTTGTCAGGCAGGTTACCTCACCAGTGACCCAGAAATTCCAGAGTGGCTTTCGGCCTTTCTCAGGAAAAAGGTTAAGCAGTAAGTCTTGGTGGGGCTTAGCAAAAGTGACTTCATTCTGAGTCTGTTGTTTTCTTTTGAACCATACAAAAATTTTCTCCTTGTGATAAGACTTTTTAGGGTCGTCCCTCTCAGCAGCTTTCAAATGTACCACATCTCAGTGTTAACTATAGTCACGATGTTGTACAGTACGTCCCCAGTACTTAGGTATGTTATAACTGGAAGTTTGAAGTTTGTACTTTTTAACCACTTTCACCCAAATTACCCCCCCACACACACACACTTGAACCACCAATCTGCTTTCTTTTTCTATCAGTTTCATTTTTTTTTAAGATCCCACTTATAAGTGACACCCTGCAGCATTTGTCTTTCTCTGTCTGACTTATTTCACTTAATATCCTCAAGTTTAAAAGAATTTTGTTTAATGGATTAACCCCTTCCCCCTCCCCGTCTTTGAGCCTGTGCACCTTGTGGATGGGTGGGGCCTGGGTATAAGGAGGAGAAGTCGGTTTTGCAAATGTCAAACAGTGGCTTCTTTTGGACTTCGGGAGCTATTTTGAATCTGGGTTAGTTATTTTCCCCTGGTTTCTCACAGGGAAAGGAGCCAGCTGGTAGACTGAGGGGCAACAAAGGCAAAAACCAGGGGTCCACTGAGGCACTGGCTGCTGACATAGGCACCTGTGTGAATCCTGTCCTTGAAAGGACCACCTGGGGCATCAAGGGAAACCATTCTGGTTGTTCATAGATTCTCCAGAAAACTTGGAGAGTTCAGCCAAAGAACACTAACTTTCGTTGAGGGGAGTTCTGCACCCGCCTACCCTCCTCAGGGATATTTGACAATGTCTGCAGGCATTTTGAGTTGTCACTATTGGGAGTGTATGTTGGATCATAATATCTAGCAGGAGGTCAGGGATTCTTCTTATACGTCTTACGGTGCTCTCTACTACAAAGAATTACCCAGCCCCCAGTGTCAACTGTGAGAGCCCCGTGGCGGAGCACGAAAAGATCTCTACGCAGAGTCCCAGGCCCTTGCGTTGCCACCGACCCCTTAGTTGGGCCAGCTCACACCATTTCCCTGGTTAGAATTTCTCATGATAGATTGTGCATCTTTTAAAAAACTGAAAATTCGGAGGTATTTTTATAGTGAGATCATGAAAAAGGACTGAATGTTAAAATGTCCTCAGTATCCAAAACACTTCAACAAATGTTATTTGTCATGAATTATACCCAAACAAATGAGCCAACAATGTGCTACTTGACTTTTGGGAAGGATTCAGAGGTGCGTGTGTGTGTGTGTGTGTGTGTGTGTGTTGACTGAAGAGTAAATTTCCTCTGTTAGGAATTTACAAATATCCCAATTTTATCCAAATATATATTCAAACCAAATAAAGTCAAGTGAAAACATGCATGTTTAAAAGAATCATAATTTTTTTAAAAATTAGTGTCTTTTGTTTGTATTTTCTTTTCAGAGTGAAGCAGTGGAGGCCGGTCTGTGTCTGAAAGCGGTGCTCCCCTGAGTTGTGGGATGAAGACAATTCATTCTATTTTACAGAAAAGATACTGTGAATTAACATAGAAAGACTTGGAATGACCTCCTGATTGTGCACAGTTATGCCAACAAGCAAAACAGCACCGAGAGCTGCTCTGGCTTCACTCGTGATGAAGACAGGAAGCCAGATGGGGCAGGGCGACGGGGCAGCTGGTTGACTTTTGGGCGTGAGGTCATTACTATTCTTGAAGCACCAGCTGTCTCCACCCACATGCGGACACTTTCCCTTTCGAGCACAGGGAGAGGAGGCGGCCAGGTGAGGGCGACTTGAGCCAGTGGCTCACTGGGATCCCCTCCCACTCACCATCACATTAAATCTACCTCTAAGCAAGCCTGTGTGGAAAGGGAAGGCACTTAACAAGACCCGAGCAGCAGGGTTCTGGGGCTGCGTTCAGGACCTGCAGCTGCATTTTTTAGCAAACCAGCCGGCAGGCACATCATCCGATGTTACGGTTATTCATAGCTGTAGAAATGAGATGTGTGTCTTTAAATTACTTCGCATGTCCTCACTGTGGGTGACTCCTGGACACCTCTGCTAGGAACATGGTTCCCTGTGAGCGTTGAACACTCTGCTCTCATTTTGGAGAGTTTTTCCAAGTATATTTTCACAACCTTCCATCAGGGAATCATGAAGACTCCTTACCGCCTGCTGTGGCTGTTGCACCCCGGCTTTTCATGACCCGGTGCCAATGGCCTTCCCGTAGGACTTTGTGTCTCCGTATGAAGGTGGTTGTGAAACAGGAAGGACCACGCTCTGAAACTAACTGTTGGAAGCTTAATGCCAGTTCATTTGCAGGGTGGGGGAATATCAGTGGCTGGATCGGTCATTTGCAGACATAGCCTTGCCTGCCATGAGAGAACAGAATATTTTTTTCTCGGGCAAATTGTTTGCTGGAACTTTTCCAGGAGAGTTTGTGGTCCTACAGTGAGAGCTCCTTAGCCCTAACATCTCGGTTAGGTCGGCCTCGGGTGGAAGTTAGCGTGGGGTAGCTGTGCCCGGGGATGTGTGCGTGCTGTCTCAGGGAGACTGGCCTTGAGTTCTTTAGGACCCTGGGCTCTGGGTGATGTGAAAACTTTCCTTCTTATTTAACGAGAAGATATGTTTATTATAACTGTCTCATTTTGATGATAGTTCCTCAAACTAGCGAAGCAGGTGAATTATCCTGCTTCCTCTTTATTTTTTACATGTCAAGTATAAGCTTTAGTGTGTTTGTACTTTTTAGAAAATAGCGGAGAACTTTCATGGAAAAGGATTTTAAAATGTTTACGATAAATTATTTTTGCCTCTGCATTGTCGCATTTGCATTTGATCCATTGGCGTGGACTCTCCAGGGCTGATGTGGGTGGGTGTTTTCTTGCAGTAAATGGTGTTGGAAGTGATTTTCTCATTTCCCTGAGGGCAGCTTCCCCTTCTGAGGGAATCAGATTGAACCCGGGTGGGCAGAGTCCTCTGTTTCGGTGAGTGCAGCGCAGGCACTTACCTTCCCCTTCCTCCCAGGCCCCTCTCTGGCAGGGCCGGGTGTTCAGAGGGCCTGGGACTGGAAGGAGGGGCTGCTTCATATCTGGGGTCAGTGCTTCTGTGAATTAACTAAGGGGTTGGTTTTGATCTTCCCTTCTCCTTTGGAAAGCACCAAAATGCAAGTACCTTGTCCTGGGTTTTGACCACTTGCGAGTCATAGGATTTTCCATAGGGTAAACTCTGTGGCCCATGTGGTGTGGAAAGAACTGATCTTTGTGACTAAAGCATTTTGGGGGGTTTGGAAAAAAATGACACATATACACTGCTCTGCTATCAGAGGTGAATCTGTTATCACACATTTTAATGACAAGCATAATGCTTGGTGCATAATAAGGTTTTAGCAAATACCTGTGAAATATTTGAATGATTTGAGAAATAAAACTGGTCTTTTCTGGAAGTCCCTTAGGTATGGATACAGCCAATCAGAAGAACCCATCCCCCCAACCCCAACAAAAATTCTGTCCAAAAATTCTTAGTTCAAATTTTTTTTGCCTTGCAATTTAACTTAGTTCTGCAGATTTTTTAATGATGAGTTTTGCAGAAGGCAATCAATAGAAGACACCAGTGAAGAAAGTAGTGATAAGCAAAGAAACTTCTGGTCTTATAGGGAGTCAGGCTCTGCACAGATGAAAAAAGGAACAACAGGGGAAAAAAAAGGTATTGAAATTAAATAAAGACATACTATAGAGCTGTGGGTGGTCAGAGAAAAGAGTAGCCATTATAGTTTAATTGGAAAAATCTTTGTCTAGGAAGTAGGGCATAAACTGATCCTGAAGCAGTGGTGGGATTTGAATGAACAGCTTTGCCTTTCTTTACACGTTTGTGTCATATTAGGATCAGGTGCACGTTATCTCCTTTCCCATTTAGACTCTGGACATAAACTTCTGCCCTATTCAGAGTCTGATTGGTGCTGAGAAAAATGGTAGCCGTCTCTCTAAGTCTTTCCTTCTCTGCTCCCACTTCTGTTCCATTGCTTTAAAATAAGTTAATTCACATTCTTACTGCATTTCTGGCAGCTGCATCCAAACACATCCTTCAGTATTTTTCTTTATGATTAGAGATCATATCCTCTTAGTGTTAGAAGGTAGTCCCCTCCTCTTATAGTTAAGAAACCAAGGTCTGGAGAGTTAAGAAGACAAACCCAGAGCCCCCCAGTTTTGGGGAGCAAAGCTCAGCACACTGGACAACCACACACCATCAATAACCTCCCACCCTGATGGGCACCCCAGGGTCATGCCCAGTTCAGGTGTGGTTGATATCTGGGAATTTACAAGAAGCACGAGTGGAGAGAGGACAGGGGTAAGTTGAGAAGTGTCATCAGCAGACTGTAGAAGATTCTGTGGGATTATGATGACACTCAGTCCTTCCCCAAGTACCTTGCAAAAGACCCCTCTGTAAGAAAGGGGAGGGACTAAGAACTGAGGCCTTCTCAGATCCAGTGGTTTTTAAGTTGCTTTCTGAACACAAGACACTGACTTGGAAGAGGACAGAGTCACAGAAACGGAAACAATCTCTTATTCTCTGAAGGTTTCTGTGGAGTCCTGGGGACTTACCTCTTTCATGCTGCTTATGCTCCTCCATCCCCAAGAATAGTTGTAGCCCTTGTCACCCACGGTTGTCCTACTGACATTAACATTTTAATTTATTCAGTGTCAACGGTAGATTTTCCTCACCTCTTTGCCCTTTTTCTTTACCGCTTTTCTGTTCTAAATAAAAATTTATTCACTGACTCAGGTTACTTATAGGTACTAGTATGAACGCAAACCAGAAACCACAGAGCCCACAGTAGCTGCATAAAATGTGCCTCTGAGAACTCTGGCTGTGTGCAGTTGAGACCAGCATGAGGAGGGGAGTTTTCTGATGTATTTGTGACTTGAAGTTACAACTTAAATCCTCAGCCTCATTTTTTTAAAAAAAATCAGTAACAGGAATTTTTTAACTAAGGGGCTGCATCCCCAACCCCTTGGAATTGTATACAAATACTATGTGTGTGTGTGTGCATTTTCTGTGAAGAAGGTACACAACTTTCATCAGAAATCCTGAAATTTGTAAAAAGGACCAGCATTACATACAGACATTGGAGGTATTTCAAAGCACTCCCAAAGGGCTCTCCTGCTCAAAAATAATTCCCTTTCACAATCCCTCAAATTTTGTTCTTATAAACAACTTTCTTTGGTTAAGCATTTATACTTAATATGTTCCTGATAAAAGGCACATACTATTTCAGACACGTAATGCTTTTGCAGGATAAGACTCAAACAAATATACTTATCATGTTGTACTAAGAACATTTGAACCTATCAGCTTTCATAATAGTTCAATATTCAAGTGAATAATTCCAGTGTAAAACCCAGAATTTCAGGTTTCTGCCTTGCACATCAGCACATGGTTTCTCTCTACATCATAAAGATTTTGGTTTCCCTTTGCTCATTCATTTATTCAGGGTCTATGTTAAATAAGTTACATATATTAGGTGTAATCCTCCTGTTTATGGGTGAAAAGGCTGAGCCTCCAGGTTACATGCTCAGGGTCATGGAGGCAGGAAGAGAGAACTGTTGTAGGTGGTGGGAAGGCCCAGGTGTTAGACGGGTGGGTTCAGACCAGACCTGGGTTCAGCAACCTCGGAACTTGAGTTCTGGCTAGGGAAGAATTCAGAGCCAAGGCCCAAACTATAAGAGAACATTTATTTGGTAAATCACAGAGGTAGAAAAAGTAATTTTTAGAAGAAATGGGCTTAGGAAACAAGTTATAGAGGCAAAGGAAGGGCCCTTGGAGCTTGGGAGTGAGGAAGCTAATGGTCACGCACCTTCTGGGGAGGGGGATTGGAGGGGAAGGGAAAGGTAAGGGCATGCGCCCAGGAGGGAGAGCTCACTGGGTCCTGTCCTAAGGTTTTAAGGATGGAGATTTTAGGGGAGGTCCCAGGGGAAGATCTCAATAGAATATTCAGTAGTTCCCAAGGTGTGTCCTTTCAGGATTGTGGTCTCCACTGATGGTTTGGTTGGTGCTGGGGCAGGGGGTCATTACCCAATGCAGGTGGTCCTGAGGTCAGCCTTGGCGCCACTTGTCTGGTTTTGCTGCTTTTCTGGGCCCTGGAGCTAAAATACAACTGAGGCCCAGCTGGGCGTGGCTCAGCGGTTGAGCGTTGACCTAGGATCCAGGCGATCGGGGTTCGATTCCCGGTCAGGGCACATGCCCAGGTTGCGGGCTTGATCTTCAGTTGGGGCAGTGCAGGAGGCAGCCGATCGATGACTCTCTCATCATTGATGTTTCTGTCTCTCTCTCCCTCTCCTTTCCTCTCTCTGACATCAATAAAGATATATTTAAAAAAAAAGAAAAAAGACATGGGCCCTGCCACACCTCATCTTTCATCTCCCCTTCCTATATGACCTTTTTAGTCATAAGGGATCATAGTGCTTTCGAAGNAAATAAATAAAATAAAATACAACTGAGGCCTAGATGTTATCTCTAGGGAGTAAAGGTCAGAGGGTCCATGATCAGCTATATGCTAGGGCAGGAAAGGTCACCCTGGGGGTGAGGTCCTACCTACAATTGTCCTTTGCTAGGTGCCCAGGACTTTCGACCCTAGTGACCTTTTGTACCTGGCCCATCGTCCTTACCCTGCTCATGTCTGTCTAACTGGCTACCACAGAACCAGGATTTAAACAATTGATTGTCTGACTCTAGAGTCCACACACTGTCCCTTAAGCCATGTTAACATCTTGTACCTGCCACCACCCATGCCTCCTTTTGAACTTGAGTGAATCTTGGCCAAGGGTAAAAGTTAGGGTTCCATGTGAAAGAATTCTGCTAAAAAGAGGAAGTTAGCCAGGATAAGACACTAAGATGTGATTGGCTTTTTAGCTGAAAACCACTGACTGGCTGAAGTCTCAGCAAACCTGTGTTGACACATCCAATCTCAAGCCACTGGATTTATCCTCATTGGGCACTTAGAACATTTTAAATAACAAGATTACTTAACTTTGGTTAGTTTTGGGGGAAAAAACAACAAACACATGAGCATCTACTGCTTGTATAACAAATGGCTTACTATTTTAAAATCCCTAAAATTAAAACAATGCATGGGTTAAAACAGGAAGTTGAGAACACAGGTGTGGATATAGAAATAGTCTAATTTGTTAATTGTTATTGGGCTCACTCATCTAATTTGTGGTTTAAGATTTCCATACCATTTTATGAGTTACAGCAATACCCCAACACATTTCTGTTTAGTTTATCTCAGTTCTGATTGTTTAGGGCAGGGGTCTACAGACATTTTGTGTGTGTGTGTGTGTGTGTGTGTGTGTGTGTGTGTGTGTTTGTGTGTGTGTACAGGGCCCAAAATAAATATTTTTGGCTTTTTTTTGGGGGGGGGGGGGCAGGACCCACAGTGTGTATCATAATTACTTGAATCTCCTGTGGTACCTGAGGCATTATATAAGCAAATGACCATGGCTGTATTATTCCAATAATGTTTTATTTAAAAAAATAGTCAGTTGGCCAGATTTGGCCCATGGGCCACAGTTTGATGACCACTGTTCTAAGAGTATTCATAATTCTAGGAGCACTGAAGAAAAGATGAGAGAAAATAGTCAGAACATATAAAGAAGTGCTTATTCTAGAAGGGATGTGTGTATGCATGATTTTCCCCACGCGGACCTTTTATTCATATTTTATACATGACATAGTATTTAATACACACATATACCATAGAGTAGAGGCTCTTCTATGTAGTACATTGAAAGAACACTAAGTTGGAAGCCAGGAAATCAGATTCCAGGTAAAGAGCTGCCAGTAACTTGCAACATTACTTTGGGCTAATGAGTCAAAATAAGATTGTGGAATTAGAAGATCTCCAAAGATCTTTCTACTCTATCATTCTTTGATGCTACGATTTTCATATTAAAATTTAAATGCAAAGTTAAATAAATATATGGACTAGAATTATATGAAAATTATATAAAATTTTGGCCTGGGCATTACTGATTCACCCATGCAACCAACCAAGCCACCAGGGCCAGAAAGTGAAAGGACACCATATAAAGGACACCACTCAGAGGTATGGAGTGAGGGGAACATACAGGTGCCCACCCGAAGGCTGTGAGTGAGGAGGTGGGTCCACAGACACATGTGGAATGAGTGGACTTCTCCTTGGGTACACTTCGTATGATGGGTAAAGATTCCTTGTGACTTCAGAGGACAACCATGTGGACATGTTATAAGAAGAACCTGGACAAAGGAGCATCACCCTTTGTGATGTGCATAGCTGTAAGGGTCCAGGAAGCCCCTCTTGCCTCTGAGCACAGCAGCCCATTTCCAAAGCTACTTAGAACCAAATACCACCCGGCTGGGCGTGGCTCAGCTGTTGAGCATCAACCTAGGGTCCAGGCAATGGGGGTTCGATTCCCGGTCAGGGGTGCGCAAGAGGCAGCCAATCAATGACTCTCTCATCATTGATGTTTCTATCTCTCTCTCCCTCTCCTTTCCTCTCCATGAAATCAATAAAGATTTTTTTTTTTTTTAAAGAAAAAGAACCAAATACGGTCACTCCCTTCTCTAAGGGTGGTGTTCGGGATAGTTGGTTGATTTTTGGATGTTGACTGTTGAATAGGATCTAAGAGGCCCTCTGGTTTATAAACCATGCTCTTCAGAGACCCCTGTAGAAAGGGCTATTTTGTGTATGCGGAGGTGAGGGTGGGAGAGGCAAGCAGAGCTCCCCAACCCCAGCTTTTATGTGCCAGTGTGGAACAAATGTTGGTCCAACTGCTTCCCTACAAGTTGGAAAACCTAGCTACAGAAGGGCATGGTTGTAGATGTGGATGTTGCAGGGTATGAGAGGAGATTCTATCGGGCACTAGAACTTCATACTCATCTTCTGGGGAAGGCGGATGCCTAGGGGTAGAAGGCATATGGAGAAGTGAGTACTCAGTCTCGGTTTCTCTAAACGACCCTCTGGGCTTCTTGGCCTGGGGGATCACGTTCTCGTAGTACTCCTCAGCAGAGTTCCCCGATGGCCTTCTCCCGAGGACGCGGTGATCGATGAGGGCGTAGCAGAGCTCCTCTGCAAAGCTCTGGTCACTGTTGCCCTGCTAGTTAAAGGAGAGCCATCGTCAAGACTTGGCCTCTTGTCATCCTCTTTACACTTCAGTCTCAACACAGGCGCGACCCTGGGCAAAGTCTGTCTTCCATAAACCACGTCCCCTCCATCTCTTGGCCTTTTTCCCAAGTGGCTGCCCCTCCTCCAGCACCTAGCCCAGGCAGCCGGAGTGCTCATGCTGCCTGGAGCTTACCCAGGTACTTGCTCTCTGCCCCGTGTTCCAGAGTGATCCCCTGACCACTCTGTGTAACTCCCAGTCTCAGGGCCCTGAGAGCAGCCCATTCTTATAAAAGAGAACATTCTGATGACACCTAAATATGATTGTGTTATGATATTTAAACACCCATTCTACAGATATTTGCACCAATATGAAGAGAAACAATGGAAGAGAAGGTCTCATTCAATGAAACCTCAGAAGATTAAAAGGAAAGCAGCAAAGTACACAGGAAAGAGCCAGGATTTGGGATTGAACCTTGGTTCTGAATCAGGAAAGCTGTCTGGCTTTGGGGAATTTCACTTAATCTCTCAGTTTTCTCATCTGTAAAACGGGGAAAATAAAAGTACTAATCTTAAAGGGTTGTTGTGACAGTTACATGAGATGATGCGCACCAAGTGCTCAGCACACTGCCTGGCACAAACTCAGTGCTCCACAGGTACTAGTTTCTTTCAATAAATAGTACAACAGAGGTGTCTGCTGCTTCTGCCACCAGACCTATATACATCCCTAGGCTTAGAAGCACAAGCATCTAACGTCTTTCCTTCATGTTAAGGTCAGAAGGGGCCAACTTCTCCTGCCATCTGGGGTGTCTACATTTTCACTGTCAACTCAGATAAAGGCTTAGAGATGTTCATGTTACCTGCTTGGTAGCAGATGATGTTCCTTCACCTGGAAAATAAAATACACTCAATAAATTTCGGGTCATGGGGAGAACTGAAGGGGGACTGGGATATAAGCAAACAGAGAACCAAGGAACAGCTGGGCGAGCCCTTATCAGGCTCTCCTGCCCTACCCCTCATCCCTGAGGAATGACAGGGCCAACTAAACAAGGCACAGCCAGAGCTATGCCCAGGCTGAGAGGCTGAGTGGAGGGAGACACATTTGGTGGGTCTTCTGTTAAGAAATCACACTTCCCTCCTGCCCTCCCCCATCTCTCCTTCCTTACACAAAGTTCATTGCATGTCTGCCCTGTACCAGGCAATGAGGAGACAAAGAATCAGAAACAGTCCCTGTACTGAAGGGGCTCACAGGCTAGCACAGGAGACAGACAGGGACCTAAGATAGGTCCATGATGCAGGGGAGGGCTGTAGTTTTTACTGTAGGTGACAGGGGAGGGTGATAGTGTGTGAGCGCATGCTCAAGGAAAGCTTTGCAGAGCAGTAAACTCTTTAGCTAAACATTCCCACTCCTGAACCTGCTGGCAGATATAAACAGGAGCAGTTTTTCAAAAGCAACTGGCTCTGGCCATTCAGCAAAGAGGGAAACGGACACACTTGCTACCCCCTCGCAAACACACCTGCTCATAAGCAAATCTGAGCTTTCACAAGGAAGCCTCAGGATACCACCCTACAGGAGGCGGGTGTGCCCCTGTTAGCCTGATCACAGGTGTATAGGCCTACTTTCCCTCAGCTCTGATATCCCAGATGCTCTCGTGGCCTTCTAGGGCTTCCCTGATTCTCCCACAGGAAACTGGTGGTGAGTTTCTGCAGAACAGGCCTCATTTCCACCAGCTTTTTCTCTGATGCAGATGAGGGTTTCCTAGGAACCACAATTCCCCTGGGTGAACCGGCCCGGGTGGGAGGGCCTATTATTCATTCACACTCTTACAGAGGGAGTTTCTAAGATTCAGAGTGAATGGACTAGGCTCTCCGGTTTAAGCCCAGGGAGGCAAAGGCAAACTTCGTTTTTCTTTAGAAGTGTAGTTACCTGTCTTCAGGCCTATACTTTCTAATTCTCTTTTCTTTTCTTTTCTTTTCTTTTCTTTTCTTTTCTTTTCTTTTCTTTTCTTTTCTTTTCTTTTTTTCTTTTCTTTCTTTCTTTTTTTTTTTAAATGACAAAGCCATCTTTATTGCTCCGGGTTAAACCAGGCAACAAAGAAATTGGGGGGTGGGAGGAGTAGAGGGCTACAAAAAGTTGGTGAACATTTCCTCAGGGCCACTGCTGAGTTCTTGGCACCCTGGGAAGCTGACCCAAGCACCACAGATGTGCTGGTCATCTGCTCACGGGCCAGGCCCACCCCAGAACCTCTTCAAGGCTCTGGGGAGCAGGGCTCCTTCTATCCATGCTGCCGCCTGTGGGGTCACCTGTAGAGGCCTGAGCATGGGGCAGGGTCCGAGTCCTTAGGAAGGTGTCCTGGTGGAGGGGGAAGAGGGTGCCTACTTCTTCCTGGGGGGGCTTTCAGCGGTACCAGCTTCTTGGGCAGGCTGGCTCTGGCTTTCACATCACGTTCAGTCTTCTTCCGGATCCCGCCCTCCAGGCCCTTCTGGAGCTTTTGCTGTTGCACAATACGCGCCTTCTTGGGGGCGATAACACGACCTCCCTTCCTCGGACCCTGGTTCCACTCCAAGGCCGCCACCACCGCCACCGTCTTGCTCATAGATGGTCTCTGTGCCTGGAACTTGCGCTGCCTCTGGGCCTTGATCCCCTGATTCTCTTTCTTACATGGGATACCATTCACCGCCCTCTCCTTGAATTCTCTCCTCTCTCCTTAGCTTCAGCCTTGTCCTGTGACCAAAGACCACTGCCTCGGCTCCTAGGTGGCCTTCCAGCATCTGCTTTTGCCACGCTCTGCACTATCTGGTCTCTGCAGAACAACCTGGGTGATGTCTTCAATGCAAATGTAACTGTAAATGTCCCCTGTTCAAAGCCCTTCAGTACCTTCTGTAGTTCCCAAGACAAAAGCCCCATTCCTAACCTTGATGGCCAGGCCCTGCCCCTCCTGTGTTCCCTGAGCCCAAGCCGGCCTCCGGCCTCCTCCATGCTGCCCCTTCTGAGTGCCTCAGGCCTCCGCCTTTTGCATTTACTCTTCCCAGTTAAGTCCTTCAGCCTCCAAACCTCAAGGACTAACTGAGTGAAGGATATGGAGATCAATAAGCCAGTGCCTGCTTCAGTGAGCTCACAGTCTAGTGGAGAAACAGCCGTGCAGTCGGACCAATTGCAGCAAAACATGTTAAGTTTGTACAGAAATATGCTCAGGGAGCTCTGGGAACACAGAGAAGGGGCAGTTTGGAAATGAAAGTCTATCAAAAGTGAAAGTGCTGAAAGCAATAACTTACTTTCCTTTGGGAAATCTTGCCTGGCTTTAAACATGTGTATATTTTTCCTGTAAAAGAGAAGGAGGGTAAATTGGTTTTTTGAAATTCAGAAACTCTCAAAGGAAATTATACTCCCTACGAAAACTTATTTTTAATTCTTTCATTTGTTAAAGTTTTATAATCCCCTCCCTTCAGCATTGAGAAATGAAAGGATTAAAAAAAAAAAAAAGGAAAATGAAGACCAAGTAGAGTCTACTTTTTTGTGTTTCTCTCTCTTCTGCTTCCTTTTCTCAGTCTGGCATGGAATTGATTTAGAAGAATTATGGTGATGTTATAGGTAACATTTTTGGAGATTTTTTTGACAAAATATTAATTTCTTTCACATCATGTGAGTTAAGGAGCCATGGTTATTTCCTATCCCAACCCTAACCGCAATCTATCATCTCCAAACAAAGAAGCCAACAAACAGATGATCACAGAGGTGACCACACTGAGTAGACGACACCCCAGAAAAAACACGACATAAATATAATAGAAGCCTGTTATCACCTCAGGAATCAAGGCCAACATCTGCTCTAAGGAGAATGACCATATGTCCTGCTTTGCCATGACAGTCTAGCTCATGTCGTTAATAATCACTTAGTGACCCTTAACTATTTTTAGAATCCCCTTCACTCTCAAAGGGTCCCCAGTTTAGATAATGAATTATATGATAGAGGTGGTTATACATTCTCTGTGCAGGGGACAGAAACGTGTGCTACTGTGCAGGGGGACTCTGGGGTTTGCAGTGTGAGCGAGGGGCCTTTCTCTGCCTTGGTAGCCAGTTTTATCTTTGCGTCTGAGGCTTTCCTATTTGAGGAGCATGTACCACCCATGAGACTCTTGTTCCTGTTTTTTAGCAAACCCGAAGCATCATTTTCCTGACTGACTCAGATGATTGTTGGGGCTCGTGACAGGCTTCCTCTGTGGCCACAGACAGCAGGGAGTTCACAGGTAACTTGCAACAAATGCCACACTGAAACCACACAGAGGGAAATAACTCCTGAAAACAAGGCTCCACTCACCATGGGAGGCAGAAGCACCCTTCAGCAATGTGGCGGTCCCAGCACCTAAAATACCGGAGAGATGACACAAATCACAAAGTTGGTTTCTGCAGCTTCGTTAGGGCGACTCTTTTCCCTTTGCCATTTCTGTGAAATTTTTTCTCTCTCTCATTCTAGGTGTCTCCTTGGACACATCTATCATGCCAGAATGCCTTCATCCTTCCAGGACATTAACTGCCTTTTGGAAATATGAAGATGACACTGTCAACTCCTGATTAGAGAAGAAGCTCTCTGCTGTGTTCTTGGAAAAGGTAAAGGGCTTCTCATCCTCACTTTCAGTGACTTACCTGGCCCTGTGATGAAGGACACACAGAGTTATCTCCAGGAAATCAAGGCACAAGTGTGTGAACATTTCAGAAATTTCCTCCAGGCATGGGTTAGGCAGTGCTTATAGAGGATCCCACTGCACTCTGAATGTGCCCTGTACATACCGTATTATAATCGCCTGCTCACTAGAGTGTATTCCACACTGGACCATGATCTTCATAAATACGGGGACCATATGTATCTGTTCATCGTGGTATAGATCACCAACATACACCACAGTGCCGGGCACGTAGCAAATACATTTTCAATACATATTTGATAAATGAACAAAGAGCTAAGAACAGAGCAATGCTAATTGGCTCAGGAGATCATCAAGTCTGCCTTCATGGACTCAAGACTAGCTAAAGAAACAGGACTTGTTATAATCTACATGGCAGAAAGACTTAGGATCTCCCTGCAGGCGGACGTCTAGGCTGAAGTCTACAGTATCCTCTGGGCATCTTTCAGAACATGAGGCGTAGTCAAATCCCACCTGGCCACATGTGAAAGCCATTTATAAAGTACTGCATGTTACACTAACACTATGTTAAAACATTTGGAAAATACCACCCAAAAATATCTTCCCCCATGCACTTTCCCAGGAAGCTCCTCCAGAAAAGGCAGTGAAGATGAGGCGACTGCCTGTGACCTTGGCTGTGGGCACCAGGACGGCTGAGGGCTCTGGCAGCCTCTAGGGTCAATGTCCTATCAGAGCCTTTGGGGCTGAGGGGCGAGGCTGTAGTTCTTCCTCCTCTTCAGGCTATATTTAGGGTTCTTTAAGCCATTTGTTTATGCCTCCTGTTTCTATGGCTAAAAAAACACCAGAAAAAAACCATTGAATCACACCAATGCTAAGAAATTGGGTTCACTGAACATGGGAGTGAAACAAAAGGAGACGGTTGATTTTGAGTTACAGGATCAATATCTCTGGACTTCTTGAGTCATAGTTTCTTAATCTATAACATGAGGGTACTTATACTGCTTACCTCATGGAGGTCAAGTAAAGTTAAATATGGGCTAAAGCTATTTTTACACTGGCTATTTCCCGCACTCAACGTTTCTGCAATATGTTTTTGCATTTCAATGAGAATATTTTGGTTTGGGGTGGGTTCAGATAACCTCTGTAAAGGAGGCCAGATGAATGTCTGTGACACAAGGCTATGGGCCAGCAGTTCTAGGTTCCTGTCTCTTGCACAAAGCTTGCCTGGCTCCCAGTCTATTCGATCTCTCCCTTGTCATAATGCCCATGGCCCTTCTGTCCTGTTTCATCATTTGGAGTGTATTCAATAATATGTTCAATGATTCCTCCTTAGCTTGCAGTGAAGAAATGCACATTATTGGGGGGAATCTCTGGGTCCTTAACTCCTAACCCAAGATTTGGCTCAGTGGTTGCTTTTAAAACGATATTCTTTTATAATTTTTTGAAATCATGGGGAAAGTGCAGATGACTCTACAGACCACAGAACAACTGGCTTTGCCATCCTTTGGGATTCTTGGACCCTGGGACACTATTTCCATTTGTTAATGAGCTCTGGCATTCAGAAGGCCTGGTTAGAGAGGATTCATGAGAAAGCATTGGTTTAACAGCATCAAGGTAATCACGTGTGTTTTTCTCCACAAACCTTCCAACAGTTGTAGTGACGTGGGGGATATGGTCACCTCAGGATTAGAAACATAGAGCTTAAAAATGAAATGGCTGGATGGAACTTGAACACAAAGATACTTGAGATAGACAAGCAAAGAGACAATAGGAAAATAGAGGTCTTACTTCTGTTTGATACAGGTTACACTAAGCTTTTAACAAAATGGAACATCGCGTCCAAAGGTTCAACATAATTTTGTTTTTTGTCTTGTCTCTTCATTTACTATCATTACAGCCGCTGCTGGGTGCAAGCAGGGTCCTGTACCGTGGGGTAAGTGATGTCAGGACCTGACCGGCTTCGCTCTTCATGGGCGAAGGCTGGGAGAGAGGTTCTGCTCCATTTGCTCTCACCTGGATGTTCTCTGCTTGAGGTTTTGTTTTCTCAGATCCCAGGGTATCACTTGCGTGTTCTGCTGCCACCTAAAACTCAACATACCAAGAATGAGCTAAGTATTTCCAAGCTTCCCAGCTCTCTTTGTAAGTTTTCCAACTGTCCTTATTTCTGCTGTTTGTGTTGTAACCCCAGATCGCCTCAGCTTCCCTTTGTCACCCTCATATCTGTCAATACGCCCTCCTAAAGCACACACAGCAATCTTTGCTCTGACGCTCTCTCCGTTGCCATAGCAACAGCCTGCCAGTGTTTTCCATGCACAGCCAAGCCTAAATCCTTTGTTCCCAAATGTCCGGGAATCCTCAGGATGACCCCGAGAATATTTGTGTTTAGAGAGGCCTATCTGCTTGGCGCAGTTTCAGGGACTCTACACAGGAATGGGGAGGTCACTGCCTCTGGCTCATGTAACGTGCCGTCTCTCACAGAAAGCACCAACACAGAGAGCATGAGAGATAAGGGGAAGAAGGGGTAAATTTAAAACACACACAAAAAACCAATAAATTGTTTTATTGTTTGGATTGGGTTTCTGTATAACGATTTTTTCATTTTGGGGGGACTGGGGATATATAGAGAAACAAAGTAACAATTAGATGCTACTTACTGTATGCTAACTACTTACTATATGCTTTATACACATATACACATATATACTATATATACTACTTATTGTACTATACATACTATGTATACTACTAATGAAATGTATATAATGTATATAACATATACACTTTCCATGTTATATCACATTTAATCCCAGAATAAACCCATGATGTAGATATTATGATTCTATTTTTTACCAGTGAGGAAACTGAGGCCAAAAATTAGGGGACTTATCTGAAGCCCCCAACCAGTAAATGGGAAAGTGTGGGTTTGCTTTTGGCAGATTCCTGTCTCTAAGATTCCGAGCTCATCTCATGAAAGGATAGGCGTCATTCTGCCCCAAACCAGGGGGAGTTTTCCTGGCCTTTGTAACAAATTTGATCTGGGGAAACATGGTGGAGGTGTGCTAATTGGGTGATAACTGGGTGAAGTTAAAAATCAGATACAAATAAATATAAGACTTCTCAATATATTAAGAGAGGCATTTTAAATCAGCATGGAAATGAAGATGTTGGGCCAACTTACTATTTGGAAAAAAATATTTATATCTGACACCATATACTGAAAGTATGGTGCTCAATCTAAAACAATACAACCATAAAAAATTATAGTGTAGATTTATCTTATCTTGGGATGAGGAAAGAATTTTAAGCATAAATTGGTAGAATCAAAAAATCATTCTAGATTTAATTCAATTGTGTTTAAAATGTAATAAGAAAAACAAAAAGTTTGGATGGCACAAGACACAAAATGGAGAATTTTTTTTTTTTTTTTGTAGTATTTATGAGCAAAGGCTAATTCTTTTAAACAAAGTAGAACAAAATCCAAAACAAAAATGGTTTAAAGATATTTCTGACTTAGATGAAGAAATACACATGGCTGAAAAATATAGAAGTTAACATAAGATATGCATCTAATGTTATCAGTAGTTATAACTGTGATTTACCAGCTTATTTTCTTTGTTTATACTTTATGTATTTTCCAATTTTTTGCAGTACCTATTAATGTTATAATCCTTTTCCCCCACACTAACCTTCTAAAAAAAAATTACAAATGTGACTTCAATCATAACTTTTTCAGTCACGTCATATTTATATTTTGTTTTATTTTTTTCTCAACAGTTATTTCTTTATGTTTCCAATCATTCATCCAACACTTATTGAGTGCCTACTATATGCCAGAAGTAATCCCAGGAAACAGGAATTCAAAGATGAATAAGAAACAATCTCTATTTTTTAAAAAACAATCTCTACATTTGAGGACCTCGGATCTAGACATAAAAACGGGGATTTATAATCTGATAGAAGAATGCTGGAGTTGCAGACTGACAAAGGCTTGTGAGGATGTGAGAGGAGTTTCAACACTAACTGACTCTCAGGGAGGAACAGGAGACATTCCCTAGACTTATCAAGTCTCTTTATAGCGGGTGGCATTTTGGGTCCTGTGCTCTAGCTCCCAGTGGCATGAACTGATAAACTCAGACCTGGGATACCAAACATAATGCTATAAAAGCACCCCCTCTATCTGATAGGTCATTTTCCCTAGACCACCTCCCTTGGTATTATAAGGATCCTTTGTTTTAAGTGACATTAATTTTTACAATAGTTGCTTTGATGTTAATGAAGATGATGGTCTAAGAAAACAGTATCTTCTAATTATTGAACCTTACTATGTGTCAGGCACTATGCCAACATCACACACACTAGAACCCTCCAAGGTAGGTATTATATCACTATTTCCATTTGAAATGAGAAAACTGAGGTTCGTTAAAGTTAAGGCAAGTTCTCTACCAGTTTCAATGACCTCTCTCTACCTGTTTCAGGAAGTGTGCCAGACGTGATCTCATAATGACAGGAAACTTGCTATTTATTTTGAACTTAAATACTAGTGATTAAAAAAGTGGCGGTGTCTTTGAGCTTCTTGTGGTACATTATGAGACCAGGAGAGCATCTCTTCTTGGGCCTCAGAGAGTTGTTCCATTTCCCAGGTGGTGGCCTATCACATAGTCCTCACTTGATAAAGTCCTCCCCCTTTCACCTGTTCTTCACCAGCTGCCCACTATGATTCTCTGGAGAATGCCAAACCTATAAGCAATTAAACTTGGTGTCTGGCACATAGTAGGCACTTCATTCTTGTAGTTCTTACTTAAGTCTCTTTCCCCGTCCTCCAAGAGGAGACTTTTTTTTTCTATTTCTGACTACATTGCCCTGACCCATCTCCTCTGGTCCCTCTTACGGAGTCTGGACTCACCTGTTTTCCCTCAGTAGAGTGTTCCCCATCCTCTCAGTGCTCTCGGTGCCTTCCCCTCAGCCTGTCTTGCTCTCTCACAGGGCAGCTCCTGACTTACAGATGGGGCTGTGTTGCTCTGGCCACCAGTGCAGAGAGAGCTAAACGGAGAAGACTATCTCTGCACGGGGAGGAGGGGAGGAGCCCAGGGAGGGGAGAGTCAGAGGTGCACACGTGCACTACTTCCTAAAATGTCAGAACCTGAAAGAACCAGGCTATTGTTCTTAAGCAGAAGTCATTGGTCAATGAGAGCGCTGAGCCCCTGGGGAAGCCCCATCTGCAATTACAGTCAAGTCACGGAGTTTTCTCCTCAGGCACCTAAATTATTAAATCACTTTGTAGCCTTTGAAAAGTGAGAGGGGGGATTTTGATTTTAAAATAAGAGAGATTTAAAGCAAATTAAAAGTCAAGCCACAGACCAGTAGAAAATATTAGCAAAACACACATTTGATAAAAGATTTTTATTCTGAATATATAAAGAACCCTCAAAACTCAGAGGAAAACAGACACTAAAAAACAAAAAGAGCAAAATATTTGAACAGACACTTTACCAAAGAAAATATACAGATGACAAATAAATACATAAAACCATGCTCAACACTACGGTCATTTGGAGATGTAAATCTAAACCACAGTGCAGTACCTTTACACACCTATTAGAATGGCTAACATTGAAAACGAAAACTGACAGTACCGAGTGTTAGCAAGGGATTCAGATGGAGCGTCTGGAAGCCTCGTGCACTGCCGGTGGGAACACAGTGTGGCAGTTTCTTATGAAGTTAAACCTAACCTTACCGTACAGCGTAGCAATCCACTCCCAGATGTCTATCCAAATGAAATAAAAGAAGACCTGCAGGGAACCTCTATGCAAATGTTTATATCTGCTTTACTTATAATTGCCCCACAGAAAGTGACGAGCGGCTTAAGGCTTGCATCCACACAAAGGAACGCTGCCTGGCAATAAAAAAGGAATGGGCTACTGCTGTATACAACAGCATGGCTCAGCATCAAATTACGCTAAGTGTGGTAAGTGGAAGAAGCTAGACTGAAAGTCTACTGTTTGTGATATTCAGGCCAGGACAAGGCAAAACCGTAGAGACAGAAAACACATCACTGGTGGCCAGGAGGAGGGCGAGAGTGAGGTTAACCTTCGAGAGGCAGGAAGGAATTTGTTTCGTTGTTGTTCTGTGTCTTGTGGTGGTGGTTGCATGACCGTGTGCATTTCTCATAATTCATAGAGCTGTATACCAGTAAGGGAGCACTGTTACTGTATATGAATCACATCTCAATGGGAAAATGAGGTTAAAATAAGAAATGGACTTGAGGACAAGAATCACAGATTTTTGTATTGTTTTTATATTTGATAGTTGGTTCCAGTTTGGTCATTCATTTGCTCCTCGGTTCCTTCAACAAGTCCATGTTGAGCGCCTGCTGTGTGCCGGGCGCTGTGGGTTCAGGGGTGAGCAGAGTTGATGCTGGCCTGCCCTCATGGAACTCCTTGAAATAAAATAGAAGAAAATGCAAAATACTTTATGGCTTATCCTGGAGTAATACAGAGGTCATACCTGCAACAGCCAGGAGGAGCATGGGGAGCGGCTTAGCAGAAACAGCGTTAGGGAAACTGGGGCACTACTTGTGCCACACCAGGCCCATCGCACAGCACCCTCGCCCCCGTAGCTGCTCTCTAGACTTGAGTCTGTCTGTGTGTGGGATTTCCTCAATGGCCTCTGTACCTTTTGCACTACCTAGAGGTCAACGGTAGGGAAGCAGGCTTTCTCAGCAATGTGGAGGAAAGACGAAATGGACAAGGGAGCTTAGCCGGTGAGTAGGGCTGTTGTTGACTCCTCACCAGTGTGAATTAATCTTTCCCAAACCCTGGGGAGGGCAGCTTGAGCAAACAGAGTGTACGCTGCCCCATGGGGTGGCTTAATTAGTTCCAATGTTGAGCAAAGGCTTTTCTGACTTCAGAGAGTCAAGCCATAGGGGTAAGGGTTGGAAATCAACCTGCCATTTTAATTTAGGGATGGGATGGGGATTGCTCTCTAACTTTCAAATTTCAGTTATACTCAGGCTACTAGATGGAGAAGCTGAGCTATGGAAGTGTTAGCTACTAATGAAAACTTATGATTGTGTAAGGTGGCAGGAAAGAGCAAGGCATTTATAATATACACATTT